AATCACACAGGCGGCTTTGGAAATTAAGTCCAGTAAAATGTATATTGGATTTTTCAATGGAATTTCCTACATACCGAGTTACAAAAGGTATGTTTGTTGTTTTATAGAAAAGGAAAAAAGAACAAGGATATTTAATATTGTATAAGAATTATTAGCTGAGCTTCACCCAGTGAAAAAAAAAGATATAGTTGGGTCATGGTTACGAATTGTGAGGTCAGGATATATATATATATATATATATAAAATAAAAAAAACTTTGAACTAAGATATATATTTATATATATGACAATTGGAAAAAATATTACATTTTGCGTTTCGTCTTCCGACTTTTTCAAGGCAAAAATGAAATCAAAATGTTTTTGTTGTTATAGTTACATTAAAAATCCAAATTTAAAAAGATAGACGCTTCTGTCTAAGCCTTTTTTTTCTGGTTAATGTAAATTACTTTTATAGTAAGGGATTATTATTATTATTTTTTTTTTTTTTTTTTTTGCATGTCGACAATATAGTTAAATTCCCAGATGAATTCTGTGGACAGATTGATCAAATGACAATTGAAAAAATCTTACATTTTGTCCACAGAATTCATCTTAAATATATATATATATATATATATATATATATATATATATATATATATATATATATATATTCCTTTTTTGTCCTCGAAAGCGCAAGGTAAACATAATTAGAACCCTAGTTCATAGGGCATTAATGATATGCTCAGAGTCTTTCTTGGATGATGAAATCAATTTTGTGAAGGAAACCTTATTCGGTTTAGGTTATCCCCCCCACCCCCACAGATACTGTTCATTCGGTCATCCAGAACAAGATTGTGGAGTTCAGAAAGGTCAAACTCTGTACTGTTAAAAAGTGCCCTGTTTATCTTAGATTGCCCTGGATTGGATCCAAGTGTGAAAGCATAATTAGGCAGATTTCAGCTAATGTTTGGCGTTGATTTTTTCTCGGCTGAGGTCCGTATAGTTTTCCAAGCCCGTCCTATGTTTCGCTCTGGGTGCAAGGATGCTCCCGCTCCGCATCAAATTCATTCTATTATTTACAAATATAATTTTAGTTGTGGTGCTGACTACAAAGGGAGAACTACACAACGCCTGGACATGAGAATTAAACAGCATCTTCCCACCAAGATAAGGAATAACACCTTATCTTTGAATGGTCGTGTCCCAAATGCCTATGGTTCCGCCATATGTGAGCACATCTTCAATAACAGAGGGTGTGCAGCTAATTTTAGTGGAGGCACTTTATATCGGGTTCTGTAAGCTTTCCCTGGGTAAACAGCGTGAGTGTTTGTTGGGACTCGCTGTTATTTGTCTCTAACTCCTTGTGTTCAATTTTTTTCCCTTCTCTTTCTCATTACACATTTTGTATTGTTTTTAATTTAAGTTAAATTTCCCGTAGAGGTCTTAACAGAAGGCAGAAAGCACTGGACGGCCGTTTCGTCCTATATTTCGGACTCATCACCAGTGCGCATCTACTTCCTAGAATTTAAACCCTGACAGTTAAGTTATCAAGCAAACGTCATACCAACTGTTCCAATGGGCCTCAGTGACGAAGAGGGAGCAAAGCAGACTCGATATAGCGCCGCTCTCTCACATATTCCGTGGTGGAACTCAATTGAGTTTCTCTATAACCATAGGACTATGTCCCCAGGAGCCACGACTACTATCGCCAAGCCGCTCAAACTTGGTATATATATATATATATATATATATATATATATATATATATATATATATATATATATATTCATGAATTATTCACACAAAAAACAAATACAAAGGTTAATGATTTAATTGGCGAGAAATCCATCGTCGCAAACAATTCAAATAATATACAAAAAAAAAAAAAAATTAAAATCAAACTCAGCGTTGCTACGGCACGCTCCAAAAACAATAACTCATTTCTAATAGCATTTTTCGGATACAACAATACATATATTTTCGTTGTCCTCTTATTACTGAGAGTAAAAACAAGAACAACATCCATTCCATACCTGAAGATGTCTGTAGGAACAGACGAAAGCTTGTAGTAAAAATAAGAACTAATGCAACAGAAATTTATAAAAACACGGATTTTTTCATTCATAAAGAGGTTCGGGGTTTTTGTATATTATTTGAATTGTTTGCGACGATGGATTTCTCGCCAATTAAATCATTAACCTTTGTATTTGTTTTTTGTGTGAATAATTCATGAATTTGTAAATTAATTGCACCTTTATTGAAATATATATATATATATATATATATATATATATATATACTAAAAATGCACGAATTAAGAGCAGCCTTGAATAACCTGCTAAAAAAAGATGTGTAATAGAATTGGTCAGCTAAATGTCAAAGTGTTTTCGAAGAGATCAAGAAAGTCTTAACGTCGGATTTATCACTAGTTCATTTTGATCCTGAATTAAAGATTGTGGTTGCATCAGATGTAAGTGATTCGGGTATTGGAGCAGTGATACTACACAAATATGAGAACG